CCCCCCCCCCCCCCCCCCGAGCAGCACAGCGGCTCTTCACTGCCATAGAGAGAAGCTCAAGGGTGTATCTAAAATAAATCCACTTAGAAGGTCAATCTGTTACCACAGACCGAAGATTCTTCTTCGCCTTCAAATCTTATTTGAAGAGACAACTTCCAAATGACTGATAAGGTTAGAAACGCACGTACGACCAGTGACGGAAGTATGCAACGTAGAGCCCTGGCCCAGAAACTGAAACAGGACAACGAATGGAGCGGAGGCTGAGTCCTCATGGCTTTCCCTGAGGAAGCGGGTCTGCCGTGCGCTGACGCACAGGCCAATGGCCCTTCGGGCCCTGAACCACCGAGCAGTGGTTCACAAACTTCACCCCTGTCGTCCTTCAGGCTCCCGCTCTGACAGCAGCTGGTTGCCTTTCTGGCTCATTTATGTGGGACAAAATGAACGCAAATCTCCTCTCGGTTTTCTAGGTCCGGGACTTCCTTCTAAGCAAACAAAACACTTCACCTGCTCTGTGTGAAAGCGGAGTTAAGTCCTTTCCATAAACCTTCTCATCACATCTTCCCTCCAGCCACAATGTCTTGCTCAACGGAGCCTTGTCCTTCACTGTTCACTTCCTTGCTCTGGGCCTGCTTCGTTACCAAGCATTCCAAGGTCGTGAGAAAACCCTCTTGGATTCGGGACTCGAAGGCCAGCAGCGCTCGAGTGAGGCCTGGCCCAACTCCGTCTGGAACCCTCCAGAACTGAGGGTAAACATGTCTCTCGGAGGGCCAGGAGGATTTGTGCAAGACCGCACACGAACGACCAGGCCAGCATGCTGCCTGGCCCCAAGGTACGGGGGAAGTTCTGTTTCCTTCCCTCTCCTCTGCACAGGGGCTGGGGTGCCACATGGTGCCATACAGGTTTATTTTTAAGAGTAAAATCCATAATCAAGATCGTTCTAAAGTGGTTCACATTTTGGATAATGGCTAGTTCTTGTGGGTATAAAAATATAAAATGCTTCCTGCATCATGAAGCAAGATGATTTTCCGTATGCTGTTGAACTGACCACAGCCAGAGGATATGAAGGAGGTGGCACATTCCAGTTTATTCTCCCCACTGTCACCACGCACACACATGCACACACGTGCACACCCCCCACCCCACCCCCCCGCCTCTCACATTGCTTACACTCCTGTGAAGGGAGAGCGTATACAGCCTCTAAATGAGGGAGAACATAAATTCTGTCCCACGCTTAAAAGTCCTGAAACTTTACAACGAGTGGGGCCCTGTTCCACCGGGAGGGAGCCTGGCTGCCGTGCAGTGGGGTTACCTTCAATATTCTGGTGGTCTATAAAAGGTGCTGGTCCCCATATTCTAACAGTGCCGTCATCGGAGGCGCTGGCCATCAGGGATGGGATCTGTGGGTTCCAGCTCACGCAGTTGACTGTGCGCGTGTGCCCTGTCAGCTCTGCGATTGGCAGTTCGCTACGTTTGTGCCAGATGTAAACCTTGTGATCTGAACAAACGGCAATTCAAAGAAAAGTTAGGGAGTTGTCCTACTGACCTTCAATTTTTTATTCGTTACACACAGAACATGTGATGTGATTATCAAGATGTGCCACGAGCAGTTCAATAAATTACCTTCCGAAAAAAGCCATTTTAACAAAATACACATTTCCCTGTTAAAGGTGATTGATTAGCCCTCAAGTCATCACAGAATCTGCAATGTGCTGTAAGACCTGAGCAACAGTCTAGATCTTCTGACGTGAACAAACCTAGGACAGAGACAATAAATGCTAGGGAAACTGGACGTGACAGAAAAGCTATGTGTCCAAATTCAGCAACAGCAATGACACAGGTGACAGCGGACCCCTCGCGGGGTGTGTAGCGCACACTAGGTCCCGGACACCGTGTCCTGGGCCTACACGGTGCTGCCCACGCCCTTTCCGGGCTCGGGGACAGCGGAGGCTCTGGAGCCGCGGCTACTCAATGCCTGGCCACCCTCCACCACCGACCAGCCCCGTTGCTGTGGACACATAACCCGCTCCTGGCGACACTGCAGCCGTAAAGGAGGGACTGGACTCACCTCATCATGCACGAGGGTAAAATAAGTTTGTGTAAGGAACAGAGTTTTGAAAAGAGCCTGGCACAGAGGAGACACCACGTGTTACCATGAAGTGATGGTCCTTAAACAGAGGGCAGAATCCTGGCTGAGTTAGAAAAGCATTCAACCTCAAGACGTGCCACTAGTGGCCAGCGTGGGAGCTCCTGGTGGGGGGGGGGGGCGGTCAGTCCTTTGTGGGAAAGGACGACGTCCTGGCTTCAGAACGTCTAACGTGACGATGTGAGGCTGGGGCTGCCTCTGAGCATCCTGCGTGCGTGTGTGAAGCAAAAGCGGAGACCCCCGCAGGAGAACTAGCGGAGCTCGCCTAGAAGGCGTATGCTGCTCGATCATTTCTCCTTGCAGAAGAAGAAAAAACACGGAGAAAGACCGGCAGATTAGCCACGCTTCCCCCCGAACTGGAGGAGCTCCAAAGAAGGACACCACAGGTCTGAAGAGCGTGAAGGTGCCTGCCTACTGTGGGGAGCACTTTGTGAGCACACACCCACGGAGTGTGCGGCTGAGGCAGGGCTCAGGGTCAGAGCCACCGGCTTGCTGACCGAGCCCTGCCGGCTGCCACCGTCCAGGGCACCCACAGCTCACGCAAGGGCAAAAAAATAAAGCAAGTTTTTTTTATATCACCAGCACAATGAATACGCTTGAGTAACAGCAGAACTCTTCTGGGAAAAGGTTTCCTCATTGCTCTATTTTATACCGCTGTTCACGTGTTTGGGGATTTGGAAGGTTCTTGAAATATTTTCCTTGCAAACGAATGACAGGTGGATTAATGTGACCGTCTCGGGACAGGAGACATTCACTACATCCGCTTGGTGCTCAGGACGTTTTCAGAACCGCTCTACCACCCGGACTTGAGAACGCGCATCTCGCTATTCCAGGTATGTGTCACTTGTAGCCCCGAAGAGAACATACTGTGCTGTGCTCACGGTATTCATCGTTAGTTCAAAGTCTGTTCGGGGCCTAGAATGAAGGATTGTGTCACTGGCGACAGAGGCGGCCAGACGGCTCTCCGGGCATTTCTAGGGCACGTGTGCCATTCGGAAGGGCCGTGAGGCTGAAGAGGGGGAGCAGGGCTGCGAGAGACCCAGGGGGGAAGTGGACAGGCAGGCAGAAGGCTTCCCAAGTGTGGACCGTGTCAAAGTAGGAGCCAAGGCGGAATCCGGGTGAAAATAAATGATTAAACTACCAGGAAAAAAAAAAGGATTTCTAACTGCAAAGACATAACTTTTCAAAAGTGTCACCTACAAACCACTCTTCTCAATCTTATCTGATTTTTTTTTTTTTAGTGGAAGAAACAACAGATAAATTCGTATGCTTCATATGAATCCCTAAAGGTCTTTGTCCTGATTCTTTTTTTTTTTTTTTTTAAAGTTTACTTTTGAGAGAGTGAGTGAAAGTGGGGGAAGGGTAGAGAGAGAGGGAGAGAGAATCCCAAGCAGGCTCCACGCTGTCAGTGCAGAGCCTAATGCGCGGCTCGAACTCATGAACCGTGAGAACATGACCTGAGCGCAAATCAAGAGTCCGACGCTTGGCCGACAGAGCCACCTGGGGCGGCCCTGTTCTAGTTCTTAAGTACATCTCATACTCAGAGGAAAAACTCCTGTGTTACTCTGTGATCCTCTGTGTACTGACAAGACAGTACCCGGGTAGCAAACATGGAACATTCAACATAATCCAGTACCTTGGTCTAGGCTGTAAAACTAGATTCAGTATTTTTAAAAGTGACTTAAATAACTTGCTGCCCTAGTACTCAGAACAGTAGAGTGGGTACTCAACGTGGCCAATGAAAATTTTCAGTAATTTCCCATGACTTGTATTTCTTTCACCTTAAAAGGCACACTAACTCTCAGTACTTACTCACCTACCTATGTTGCATATTTTAAACAATTTCTCTCTTAAACCGGACTACTTTGGGAACAAGCCTGCCTGAAACACTGATGTGAGCCAACTGGAGAGCACATTTACTCTGAAAGGCAGTAGAGACTCTTCTAGAACTTCAGCTTTTCTGAGACTGTAAGAATTATCAAACTCTTATTATTCTCTTTGGCCATCACAAAACCACTAAAGATCTAGCGATCGTCAATTTTGTCTGACAAGTTCAGCTAAATCATCATAATCAACCTGACTTTTTAGATCCTACTAACCTCTGAATGCCACCAGCCTCATGAAAAGAGCAGGCCGGCATTTGAAAGAGTTTGGATTTAAGTAAACCTTGATGTGACGCACGCACCAAGCGTGACCGGTGCTCTCTTACAATTTTTACCCGTGTTAACACCCTGAGTCTGCCCGGCAACATGGCCACCTTCACACATGGAGACGGTCACAGAGCTCCCACCCCATCCGCACACACGCTCCAACAGTGCACACGACTTACCTTCACTGCCACTAGCGATGAAGTCCTCGTTGTGGCCTCCAAAACATGAATGAATCGTATAAAACCCTTGCGTGACACCTTGATACTTTCTTACTAAAACTCTGTCTTGCAAGTCCCATAAATGAACTCCCTGTAGGCAAAAGAAAATGGACATATTTATTCTCCCTCAATTCAAAAGAATTTTAAAAAGTCATCTGTGAATTTCCCTTTGCTTGATGGAACAGTTTTAGTGTCTCGTTACGCAAAATGCCAACGTTCTGATAAATTTATGGTTGACTCTACACCTTTAAGGGTCAAACATATGTGGTAAAATTTAAGAATCTGTAAAAACAGCAGTCTTGAAGAAAAAGTATTTGTAGAAATATTCGTTTATACACACACGCACACACACACCCCAAAAATCGCAATTAAAATCTGAACTACACTAACACTTTGAGAGAACGAGAAGCTTACCTGAGTTGCTACATTTAACAAAGCTAACCGGCCATTCTTGGAAATAGTAAAAGACATAATGGGGTGATCTTCTTGTACTCTGTAACCAGAAAATAATCTGTCAGAAGCAACATACTGAAAATCAAGACATTCAAATTATCAAAATGTAACCTGTTCTACTAGCTTAAAGACCACAGTTCTGTCTGTAGTCACCGCTACGCACTATTTTAATCAAGGAAGAAAATCTGAGTTTCTGGTTACTCGGCACCACCAGACCCGCCAATCCAAACAGGCAAACCAAATCCACAACAGAAAAACTCTTCCTCTACAATAGCAAGTTCCACCACACGTTTTAACATAAATCAACGAATACTTAACGGATACAAAAAATAGTTACATGTTCCTATCTGTAAGGTCCTCGAAGTTGTACCCCCGGATTCGCTGGTGTGTATCTGACGCCAGAACCGTCTTGCCGTCGCTCAAGCACCAGAGGCATTGCACTCTGACCCCTTCCCAGGAGTCAAGGAGGTTACCATCTAAATCCTGAGGAGAAAAGCACCATTTAGCCCCAAAGCTGACCAGCACGTGGAAAGCAAACAAAGAATCTCTTGGCACTGTCTTTCTGCAGCAACGTTTGTTTTTTCCTGATCTCAACGTAATTGTTCCACGACTGGTTTTAGTCACAAAAATCTGAATACAGGGCAAATTTCATTACAACAATAAAACTGTTGGGAGGGGGAGAGAACCTCTGTAAAATCCATCTTTCCTTCAATAACCAGCCAGGCACAGGCAAATACAATAAATAGAAAGAATCCCTAAATTCCAAGTAAGGGCCTCGCTACTATTGGAAGAGAATTCAAATGCTCCTTTAAGATGCATTATACTGAGGTTTATCCTAACCACTCAGAAGCTGTGATCTGGAAAAGGTTGCTGACACGGTAATTGCAGCTTTATGGAAGCCAGAACGTGCTACAACACTTTAAAAACTTGTAACGTGCTCCAATGTGTAATGTGTTCTACGGATCAGAGCTCCCAGGATTATCATCTTGTTGAATGTTCCAAGGTCGGAGAGGCACCCTGTTCCCGTTCCCCAGGGGGCCGGGCTGCCAAGTCCTCGTCCCGAAGGGGTCAATACCGTAGGGGACGGTGGGGTAGGCAGAGACGTCGTGGTCATCTTGCAGCCAGGGACTTAAGAACAAACGGCTTAAATGCTGCCACGTACAGCGTGGTGACTAACTTGCAGATTGAGAGTTGCTAAGAGGGTATATCTTAACAGTCCTCACGACAACTTTGGATGATAGTGGACAATTACCGTGGTCGTAATTTTCAACGCACACGAACATCAAGTCATTATACTGTACCCCTGAAACTAACATAATGTTACGTGTCAGTTATCCCTCCGTTAAAGCAAAACGGAGGGAGTAAGAAATAAAAGTAGGACAGTGCATTAGCCCACAAACAGAAACTCCACTTAAAAAATGGGAGGATCACACGTAGATCAATGCACTGTGCTGAGACGACTGGGAACAAAAAAAGCACTGGGGGCTTGTAAGCAAGCACGTGTCCCACGGCCAGCTTAACGGAAGGCCCCCCAGTCTGTAACGACCACGTAAGCCTTCATATACGCATCTCCAGCGACATTCAGCGATTTACGGGATGCAGGATCTTGTTTAATTCTGGTCTTCAAAACATGTCTCGAAGTGCCCCTGGCACTGAGCCTCGAGAAGACAGGGCCTGATGACATCACACCCCCGGCAGAGCTGGCCTCGTGACAGGACTCGTCACAGGTCGTCAGACAGCCAATCCAAGATCAGCAGGGCAGATGCTAATCAAAAGACATTTCAAATAACGACTGGAAGGCTCTCTGGTAGCTCTCCTCACCACTTTTAGTCCTCAAATACTTAAGACCACCTGCTCATGAAACTCCGCATATTTTTGATACAAAAAACCAAAAACCTCAAAAGAATAGTAAAATATTTTTCAATCCTATACATTAGAAACTTGTTTATGAGAACAAAATGCTCAGTAGAATAATTTTTTACGTCTTACTAAACTCAAAGTCCATAGTTTGTATGAAAAGGAGAACAGACAATTCTGCACACTCTACTCATTCAGAACGAGCGCAAAGCAGGTCTTCGTGGGACGTATCTTATACGAGATACCAAGGCAAGCGACTATTTTAAACTTTTTTTTTTTTAACGTTTATTCATTTTTGAGAGAGAGAGAGAGACAGACAGACAGACAGAGCATGAGTATAGGAGGGGCAGAGAGAGAGGGAGACACAGAATCGGAAGCAGGCTCCAGGCTCCGAGCTGTCAGCACAGAGCTTGACGTGGGGCTCGAACCCACGAACTGTGAGATCACGACCTGAGCCGAAGTCGGACGCTTACCCAACTGGGCCCCCCAGGCACCCCGGCAAATGAACTATTTAAACACAACGAAGAGCAGAGGCGTGGAGAGGCGCACGACATACTCACACACTGATAGAACTGGCCGCGCTGGCCTCCGGTCACAAAGCGTTTCCCGTCTGGATTCCAAGCCACACTTGTTAAACTGTCCTCGTGAGACTGGCTCATTTTTGTCCTTAGCTCTCCCGTCTACAGAGGAATAAAACTGTGGATAAGACCTTCAGATATTCTTCTAAAGGGAATGTATAAAGAAAAGCCAACAGTGACTGGGCTATCTGGTTAGTTTAGTCCTCCTAACTGGAGAAATGAACTATTTTCACCAGCCTCATAAAAAGCAAACGAACAAACAAAAACACCGCAGCCTCAAAGAGAAATTAAGAATGTGGTGAAAAGCTCAGCCTGCAGGCCTGTTCCTTCTGAGTTCCCACTTCTCCTCACCCCATAGTCCTTTACAGATTTAGTCTAAAATTGCAGTTAATGCCATTAGCAATTCCTCAAGAACATGATTAATAGATTGAAAAACTGTGCCCTTGAACTAGGGCAGGGGTGTTCTAAATTATGTCAAATTTTATACTCAAGATGCTCAAAATGTAGTAGGGAAGATGGGAAGAGAGAAAGGAAAATTATTTCTCTGATATCTAATTTTTTTAAGTTTATTTATTTAGAGAGAGAGCATGTGTGCGTGAATCCCAGGCAGGCTCTACGCTGTCAGCGCAGAGCCCGACACGGGGCTCAAACCCACAAACCGTGAGATCATGACCTGAGCCAAAATCAAGAGTCAAACGCTTAATTGACTGAGCCACGCAGGCACTCCGATATCTAATTTTATCTCAACTAAAAGTCTCAGAAAAGAAGAACTTTTGTACTGTTTGGCGTAGCCACTTTAAAGTATTCCCAACTACGAAAGACTGTTTCGTGGTTACAAAACTGAAACACCCTCCTCTTATTTTTTTTAGGTTATTCAACTTAGAAGGTAGACACATACCATTTAATCTAGTCTCGATTCCATTTTGTTCATGGATTAGAAAGGTTCTGAGAGAGATTAGCTGCCCTTGATGTAATAAAAAGTACATGGGCATAATTTTCCTGTGAGAAATGGGTAATCAAAAGTAAAAAGAAACAGTGAAAACAAAGTGTAGGATCAGGAAACGGGGCCAAGTAATAAAAGCAAAGAGGACGCTAAACTAGAAAACCAGAAGTCTCCCTGATTTTCCCTGGTCCAGCAACGTTAAAACCTTCCCCCGTATTGTTAATTGCTCTCACCTACTTATCTTTTTGGGTTGCTAGAGAGAAACAGTTTAGAACCACAAGTACACACGCAACAGCTAAATCCTCCACACTTCCTGTCACAAACACGTTAGTACACATTTCTGTAGGCAGAAATGGTCTTTTCTTCTGTTACGCTCAGGACAGCACGTATATGAGTATGTAATTACGAAACAACCTAAAAATATAAAGGAATAAGGTGAAAATGGACTACGTAACAGGCCCATTGAGTAACACACAAGCAAACAGGCGAGCTAGAACATCGTGTAACTGTCTAGAAACTCAAAACTGACCCACAGGAAGACTGTGGCCACCATAAATCCTGAGTCTACCACTGTAGAGTTATGACGACACGTCTTCCTTTGAATGGGGAAAACAGCTTTGACGGAAAAAACCCCTTTGGTCTTTTAGGGGAGATTCACTTCAGGCCTGTTTTGCTGAGAAAGCCACGGACTCTCCTGTGCCTTGCCGCTCCCTGAACCGGATCCCGAACACACGCTGCGCGTACACTGGTTTGATAAAAATGGCACGAAGACACTAGCAGGGCACTGGGCGTGTCTGATCATGAAACGAATGTTAGATATTAGAGGATTAATTATAGCTAATGTCAGGTTAAGACGGGAGCGCGTGTTATATGGGAGAATGTTGTTTTGTAGCAGGTACGTGCTTAAATATTTGGGATAAAACATCCTACGTGTTATTTCCTTCCAAACGTTTTGGATGTGGAGGTCTATGTGAGTGTGTATGCACGTCCTCATGCGTGAGCACACACGTGTCCACACAGAATGTACAGAATGTTAACTGCCGAATCCAGGGTGCTGGGCCCAGGTCACCACTGTATTCCTCCACTTTTGAACGTTTTCCTTAAGAAAGCGGGGTCTCACACACGAACAGCAAGTGAGCAGTGACAGAACCGCCTGGGGCAGCAGCAGAGCGAGAGTGTGGCTGGTCACCTTCAGGGGTACCCCCTGTGCACACTTCTGCAGAGTTTGAGCTCCACTCTCTCAGTAAAAACCAACTCACTTCTAGGCCCCCGGACTCCCAGGCCTAGCTCATCAACTCGCATTTTTACATTCAAACCACAGCCCGGACCACGTTCTGGCCTCGCGTCAGAAAAGAGAAAAGAACGGCATCGAACCAGCCATCTTGCAGAAGGAAGTTAAAAAAACCAAAACAACCCTCAAATTGTAACTATAAGGTTTCCCAAACATAGTACAAAATTAATGGCGGGAACTTAATGCTGATTTTTAAAAAATGGGACCCTAGATAAAGGCCAAGTTTTCATTTAGAGACAGTAACAGAGCGCTTACTACTAAGAGCTGAAACTTCCTTTGTTTCCCAAATTAGATGAGAACACCAAACACAGGCCAGGGGACAATGGTGTGGCCGCCAGGTGAGAAGTCTGACCCCGCAGGGAGGCTGTCACATGGCAGTTCCGCGTACATCAAACTATGAAACCACAGGGCATCCTCTGGGGAGGGTGGGGGTGGGGAGAGTCCCACAGTCAACAGCGTCAAGTCCACCATTCCTGAAAATACTCATTCCTCTTTCTTTTCAAAACTCTATCATGCTCAGCATGATATTTAGCTTTATACATTCGGACACCTGGGCTCCATCCAACGGATTCTCTTTGCCAAGGGGGCCGAATGGCTCTGCTCTACGGGAGAGTCAAGTTTCGAGTGTGTGGATGTGCGGAACGGCTTTCCTTAAGGGCCGAAGCAGGGACGGAACGCGCTCACCTGTACGTTCCAGAGCCAGAGTTCAGAGCAGTCGTCTGGGCCACACGCAACAAGATAGTTGTCATCCGGACTCCACGCAATGTAAGACACGCCGTACGCGTGTCCTTCTAACGTCTTAAGCAGTTTTAGCAGGTGTGTGTCCTAAGGGGGAAAGAGGCCACTTGGTTAGAGTCCCCAGAGTCCGTGTCCTACTTCAATGAGCTGCGAGGGTATACTCTGAGAACGTAATTCACTCTGAGGAAGTTTTCACAGATTTCACCAATCTCCCAGCTGAACCCCAAACAGCTTGCTTCATAAAGACACGTCCACACGGCAACATCCAGTAAGCATCCACCACGCACCAGGCCCCGTGTGCCAGAGGCCAACGTAAGGACACAGGCGATGCTCCTGGTGATGCTCTCAGGGACACCGAAAGCAGGTGTAGTCACAGCTACGTTTTCATTTTTGAAAACTGTTTTCTTGAGACACGACTTAGGTACCACCCTCTCTAAGTATATGACCTAGTGAATCTAGAACATTCTGTGGCCTCACAAAGAAGCCCCGTACTCATTGGCCGTTACTGCCCCCACCCGCCTCCCCTGGCAGCCTCTCCCGTCTCTCTGGATCTGCCTATTCTGGACGTTTCGTACAAGTGGAGCCATCCAATATGGCGTCCTCTGCGATCGGCCTCTTTCACTCTGTGCGTCTGCGTGGTGTTTCCAGAGCCCATCTGTGTTGCAGCTGGGGTCAGCATTCTGTTCCTTCTCCCTGATAAATCCTCCATTTGTGGACACGTCAGACCCCGTGTACCCACTTGTCAGCTGACCAACACGGGACTGTTTCCATGTTTCTGGCTACCATATCTAACGCCGTCGTGACCGTGGACAAGTCTCCTCTGAGTCCACGCGCACGAGCGGAGCCGCCACCTCTCCGTGTGACAACTGAAGAGTGGCTACGGTCTTCTGAGCTTCTGGCTGTGGCCGGGCAGGACGAGCACCGTTTGGCGACAGCGCCTCGTGTAACCCTCATCAGTCTCCAAGGTTACCACCCCCCCCTCGCCCCCACGGTACAGGGAAGGGTGCAAAGTCTGTGAATGTGCAAGGCCTGCCCCTGCCCGGGCCCTAGCGTGAGCCGTGTGGAAGGGACTGCGCCGTGCGCGGGGAGGTGGCGAGTGACAGGGCTGAAGAGTGGGCACCTTCACGTCGGGCTCAGGGTGAGAGCAGAGCCGCCGACAGGTTTTAAACCGGGGGCTGTGGGACGTGACATCTGGCTCAGGATGGGGACTATGGGATGTAACATCTGGCTCGAGGAGGACGTGGAAGGTGAATCTGAACGAACGGACATAGGAAACATACACTCATAAAGAGCTGACACCACAGCCATTAACAGTTAAGACAGGCCATCCAAACAAAAGTCTGGACCGAACGAGGTCACACACAACAGAATGGGACGACCTGTACATTGTTGTTGTGGGAACAGGAAACGGGGGCAGGAAGCAAGGAGTTCACTTTTAGGTTTTGGCCAAAGATAGAGACCAGTATCAAGCCTGCAGGATTCCAGCGGCGAGGACCCAGAAGTAGTCAGGGATGGGTCTGATAAACTCCTCCGATAAAAATAGGTTGGGAGATTTTTCCAGAAATGTAACTGACAAATGGATGTGTTTAACGTACTTTGTTTCTTCACTGGACCCTAAGTCTAGCATTTATTCAATCGCCTTGTCCAAACCGCCGTTGTCTGACAAAACCAACTAGGTAACACTACCACTGCCTGTGATTCCTCTCTGGGAGAAGGCTAACAGGCGTGGGGATCCGTACAAAAACAGAGAGTCTCCGGCATAATTTAACAGGGAAGTCTAGGCTTTGGGACCGGCTCAGGATCTTCCAGCAAGAAACTCTCACTCATGGCGGTCCTTCGTATCTACCCAAAGATTCACTTCTAAACTGATGACAAACTACTTTACGAGTATGTAACTAAAAAACGAATTGTTTCATGCACATGAATTAACCCTGAAAAAAAAAAGCGCAAAACATCAATGGGGATATTAATACTAGGTCATTACGAGCACAGCGTCTCTATACTAACCTGTTTCAAGTGGAAATATCATGTTCATGGAATCCACTGAACTCTGCTTTAGATTTTGGGTGGGGAAATGAGTAAAATGTTTTTTGGGGGGCAAAGGTAAGAAAACCTGTCAAAAGAAATTAGGCACTGGAATCACACCAACTCAAACCTCAAAGGTCCCTACGTATTCTTTTTTCTATCTATTAAAACACACACACACACACTCAAGAAGATCACCAACTTTCTTACAAGTTTTTCAGACAGTACTTGACATAGAATACCATCGTGCTAAACTCTAAAATCCACTGCATTTCAAATTGGAACAAAAGCATGAATTCTGCATGTCCCAAGCTACTCTGGCTACAAAAGCCCTTCATGTGGAACTCCTGTCCTGGCAACAGCACCCTGGGTGATACCAGCATGAAGTCCCAAAGTCCCCAGCAAAGTGTACAAGATCCTCCTCGACTGGCTGCTCCGTACATCATGAGCCTCGTCTCCTAGTCCGCAGTGTAGCCTCTTCCCGGAACTGCCTGGATGCCAGCCATGTCCTCCTGTACCTGGGGGCCAGTAGTAACTAGCTTGTCTAAGTAACCGTTTACTCCTTCTTCTCTGAAGACTTACTTGTCTTACTCTGCCCTTGCTCTCCAGCTCCAAGGGGGTTTCTTCTTTGAGGCCCTGTAGCACCCAGTATAGAACAATCACACCGTATGACCATGAGCTGGCAAGAAGGCCTCGCATACAGCACGTGCTCAGAAAATAGGTGCCAAACGGTGGGAACTGCTACACGTCATTGCCAAAAGAAAATATAATAAAGCACAGTCCGATATGCTTTCTTTCCAGACATGTTGCAAATAACTGCTGAAATGCGACTCCTTGGAATGGCACTCAAAGGCCGAGACTAGACCCCACGCTATTTTCCTAATCTGATTTCCCACTCTTTGCCTGACTCACCCTATTCTCTTATTTGAAGGTGGGGGAGGGCAAGGTAAGGTCCCTCTCGCCCCAAAATGCCCCTTCCTGTCTCCCTTGATGTTGTGCACATCAAGGTCAGACTAGGTGCGCTCACCTGAGCGGCAGGCCTGTGCTCTTGTGACCCTTTGTACATATTGCATGAAACTTCCTTCACCTGTGGTCTGCAAGGAGTCATTCAGGAACAGAAACGGGGGTCTCTGAACTTGAATGGGACAAGTGCACATCTTTATTTTCACTAACCACAGGCCAAAATTCAGTATTTCCTTCTATCTTGAATGAAGGCAATTAACAAGGCGGCATCAGGTGATACACGAGGGACATTCACATACTGAGTATTAGGAAGGATAAGGTGAAAGTTAACAGAAATCTCAAATATTTTCACAGCACGTTACTTGTTGCAGGTATCTTGAAACACTGATGCCCATCACTACTTCAAATCTGATACTTGTTAGCTCTCTTGCTAGAACTTGTTGTTTAATGCATTAATAAAAAAGCACCATGTTATTATACTGTATCTGTTTCTATACTATCTTGACAACTCTATTTCAGCATACTTGGGCTCCCTATATGTTCTGGTTTATGCATTTAAAAATGTTATGGGGGGGGGTCCCTCCAGAGTAGTACATGGTACAAAACGAGAACGCCTGCTTTATCGCAAAGGGTAGGCCTTGTTTACCTTTCATCATTCACAGCACATAGTAGGTACACAAATCTCGAGGTGTGTTCTCCAATTTGATTTTGTTTTAAAGTAATAAACTCCAAGCCCAACGCAGGGCTTGAACTCACAACCCTGAGATCAAGAGTTGCACGTGCTACGGACTGAGCCAGTCAGGCACCCCTGATTCTTTTTTTTTTAAATATTTCCTTCTAGAGGCACCCGGGTGGCCCCGTCAGTTAAGCATCCAACTCTGGATTTTGGCTCAGGTCCTGATCTCACGGTTTATGAGTTCGAGTCCCGTGTCAGACTGCACTGACAGCGCAGAGCCTGCCTGGGATTCTCTCTCCCTCTCTCTCTGCCCCTCCCTGACTTGTGCTCTTTCTCTCTCAAAAATAATTAAATTAAAAAAAGAGATTCGGAAGGCAAAATGGTAACAAGTCTTCTCCTAACTTGTGACACAGTGGATGCCGTACCAATCCGGAAATCAAATATTAACACACAAACCGGCAGGGGGCATTGAGAGCAGTGGGTCTGGAGTGAAACTCTTCCTGGATCTGAGCCTAACTCCGCCACTTACAAGCTCTGAGAGCCTGGGCACTTAACTTCCACCTCAGTTTCCTCACACGGAAGCAAGAGGTGTGGGCAGAGGATGAAGCTAGATCTCGCGTGCACAGACTCAGTGCCGGCACGTAACGCGCACGAAGTGTTGGTGTACGCGCATCATCTAGACAGCACAGCAAGAGGGAAGACACGACAAGAAAGGCAGGAGAATGCTTAGAACTCATTTACGTGTGTACACTTCACTGACAATCAGTCGATTCGATCACTGATTACCTTTTTGTCCTCTAAACCCCCCCCCCCCCCCCCCCCCCCCGCAGCAAAGTACATACCAGATCAACGTGCCATATGATAACGGTCGTATCTTTTGATCCTGTTGCTAGTTTAGTGCCATCGTTCGAGAATTTACAGAACCACACTTCATTACAATGCTCCGTAAGGATCTGCTGAGTGTAACACGGGAACTGTCTCCTAAAACAGAGAGGTCCACAAGTAATTCTTCGTTCAAAGCAGAGGAGAATAAGAACGAAAAAGTGATAGAACCGCGTGGAGATCAGAAACTTTACAAACGAGATATCAATGTCCTTATAAATCTGGAGAATCAAGTTTCCATAGTACATAGAAAAAGATTATAATGACATCAGCCAAGGCCATCTCAGGGGAAATCAGTAATCCAGAGTCTCCTTCAATGCACAAGTTTTTCTTTTCACCCCCGTTCTCAAGATTGAAAAAAGAGTAAAAGTATGTATCCATCAGAGAATTTTTTGGTCTGATTAAGTCAACTCCTATGAATAAAAATTAACAATCAGGTGTTCAAGTTTGCGTGGGCCGGCACACAAGTTGGCCGGCATCGGGAAGGATGTATGCTGACAAAAGGAAGGACGACAGGCATCAGAGAGTCTGGGTCACAAGCTGTCGTGTCTGGCAGGTCACTGACCTCCTCTAGGCCTCCATTCCCTCATCTATAAAATGGGATTCATCTGTACTTAACAGGGTTCTGCCGAAGCTGAGAAAAACATCTCAGGATCCTGGAACACAACAGATACTCACGAGTGACCACTAATACTAATACCCCGCTGGGGGGAGCAGGAAGTGCGGTGTCCAGGAAGGGCTGCAGCGGCTGGCCACGTATCAGGTAGTTTCCCAGAAAGTGGGCAACCCCTTTAATGCGAGTCTCAATTTTTCCAACCATAAACTTAGAGGGAAGGGGACATGCCTCCTGAAACTCCGTACGCAAGGGTGGAGTCCAAGAACGAGGCCGTGAAGGCAGGGTGGGGAGATGGCGCCTGACGCTCTGGCGGGCACCTCAGGGGCGGCAGTGATTGTTCTAGACTAAGGGCAGAGACTTCTACAATCACCAACCTGAAGAGGAGGAAGTTACCACAAGAATGACTGTTCTAAGCACCTTCTGAACCATTTTTAAACTCTCTTGACGTTTTCCAACCTCCGTAGCAGCACCTCGGACAGCTTCCTGAGCTAACCTGGCAAGGCTCTGGACCCAGCCCACCAGGCGTGGAGCCTGGCCACTTGGGGCTCCCGGCCACGTGACATGCGGCTGGCATAGCTGAGGAACTTGAGTTTTAATTTTAGTTTCTTTACGTTTAAGTGGTCACATATAAATTAGTGACTACTTTGGGGGCAGTACGGCCCTGTAACGGTCTCTGTAAGATTATAAAAAAGTTACACATTAGTGGAGAAACTTTTCTTAACTCAAGTACACCTGACACTATGATAGTAAATGTCTTTCAGGCGTGTGGCGGTGCCTCAACCATTGTTATCACTGCAACAGGTGTGTTATACACGGACCGTGTTACCTGTGCTGTACTGTTCATCCCTGTGACTTGATAACCTTCTAAGTCTGTCTGGAAAAATGGTTTTCCCTATTTTTTTACCCAACGAATCTATAATCTAAAAATATATTTTTATCAATTCGCCAGCCTGAAAAGTAATCTAGATTTAAAACCAAGTTAACATTCTTTATCTGCACACAATGACCATCTACCGTAGCACTTGACTATCGGCAGGCTGCTTTAAACTTTCGGGTTGTCTATAAGTTGCTTTAATATTAAACTGTTATTCTATATCTAAAACATAATCGATACCAGCTGACATTTAGTAGGCACTTTCTAGATGCCCTGCACTGTTGCGTACTTTATATATAGTACTGCTAATTCTCAAGACCAGCTTGCAAGGCAAGTAAACATCTCCGTCTTCGTAAGCCTCAGAGGACAAATACTGAGTCTCACAGACCGATAACTGAATTAGGATTTAAACCTATGGCTCACTCTCCAAGACCAGTTTTCTCTCAATTATCATTTTTTAAGTTGCATTTTTCAAGACACTGTTGGATAAAATTCCAGTCAAGTAGGTACTTTCAATATCAACAGTGCTTCCC